GGCGGGGCATGGAAAGATTTTTTTAAAAGAGTAAGATGAGAAGATTTTACTAGGTAAGAATAAGATGCAATAAATACTAGCAAGATGGGAAAGGGTGGTAGAAGGATGGGCTGGGAGGACAGTGAGCGAAGGGCAGTTATTACGGCTCCAGAGAGTAGAAGGGTGCGCTTAGCTGACCTGAGTCTCGGTAATAGGAAGAAGCCAAGGATGGAGAAAATTGAGAGGATATGGTAATGTACTAGAAGAAAATGCAATAGTATTTCTAACCTCATCTTAAATAGTATTTAATATTTTAAGATATGTTTATTTAGGACCATTAAATATTCATTTATTGTCATTTTAAATTTTTGTATGAGGCAAGTATAACTGTGTATATTAAATAACTATATGGTTTTTTACCAGTGCACAATTTAAGAGATAGGGAAACTAAGACCAGGTTACCAAAAACAAAAAATTAAGACTTAAACCAAACTAAAAAAAAAAGGCAGATAAAAAAAATGTATATGAATTCTTACCATGTGACATGAAAAGACACAATAACAAAAAATTTTAACATATATGGTGGAATGCATGAGGTCTGGTGGGGGGGTGGATGGAGGAGGACATGAGGTCCAGTCGGGGGCTATGGATGGGGAAAGGGGTCTGATTTTGATTGAGAACTGTTGTATGAAATGTATGAAAGCTCAATAAAAAAGAAAAAGACCCAATCCTTTATGGCTACCTTTCAATTTTTAATAAATTTCTAGTTAGCTTACAAAGTAATGGCTTTCATTCTGACATTTTCTTTTGTGTGTGTGTATAATTCAAAGTGAATTTTTGTATATATCATACACATCTTAACCATCTTTACTCCCTTTTCTCTGTTGGCATGCTCCCATACCCGCCCCTCGCCACTGGATATCATGCGTTCTTTCATCTATGTTGAGGCCTATCGAATCAAGTTATTGTACCCAGATGCGCTTCAGTGCAAGTTTATCCACCGGGGCCTAGCCAGTCTTTCTGGAGTACCTCCTTTTAAGAACATCAGCTCTTCCTCACTCAGCAGTAATCAGCTGCCAATAATAGTTCTTCAGCTAAGATTGGGGCCTACTGCCCATTTTCACAGTTCTCTGCTGGGGTTTTGTCTGCTTGAGTTTGCACGAGTCTTATGCATGTTGTCACCATTGTTTTAAGTTCATATGTGCAAGGTCCCAGGAGCCTATAAGACTTTATTTCCAGGTGGTCATGCACCTCCTCCGCTGGCTCTTACAATCTCTCTGCCCCGTCTTCACAATGGTCCCTGAACCTCGGGTGGGTGAAGTTTAATATAGGAGGCCTGTCCTAGGACCTTCACACAGGTGTCCTGGCACGGTGTGCATGCTCACCCCTGACCCTCTTTCCCCTTGGCCTCTTCTTCTCCTCCCTTTCTCCTCCCATATAATTCCTTTTCTGGTCTCATGTCACATATGCGAATATATGTTCTCAGAAGAGAAAACTTGCAATGCCTGCCATTCTTTTACTCCCCTGCGAGTACCTCAGATGGAGTGCTGCAGAGTTTAGAAGAACATGTCAGATCCTCCGTAACTGAAGTTACAGACAGTTGTGAACGTGTGAACCACCATGTAGGGACTAGGAACTGAACCCAGGTCCTCTGCAAGAGCACCAAGTGCCCTTAACCACTGAATCATCGCTCCAGCCCCCTCAATACTGGTATTTTTCAGTAATTTATCGTATTTTAAAGAAAATTAGCTTTTAGTTTACTTTTCCCATTCTTTGTTACTAGTGTATGAAAATATGGTTGACTATGTCTATTGCCCTTATATAATAAAAGCCTAAAAAATTCACTCAAGAGGTCCAGTAGTTATTATGTAAACACATGAAGATTACAAAAGAGTTAATGTGCCAAAATGACTTTATATTATTTATGAACCCAATGTTCAGGTCCTAGTTACAAATTTATTATACTTAACATACACAGAAATACTTAAATTTTATTTGCTTTATGCTATTTTTATGATTAATATTTCAAGGACTGTGTCTACTTTCTGTAAATTGTCAAATTTATGGCAATAAATTTGTGGTCTTAGTTTACCGTTTTGATTGATAGAACCATGTGGACACCTCCTCCTTTATTGCTGATGTTTGAATTGTGCTTTATGCTTCTTTTCTTGGTCAGCTAAGAGGCTTTTCCAATTTTATTGGTCTCTATGAAATTAACTTGGTTTCATTGAATGATTCACATTGAAATTCACCAAATTTTATTCACATTGGTTTCTGTAGTTCGTTGGCACTTTAGCCTATTTGTAACTTTATCATTGCTATTTTATTCATTTACCTTCACTGAATTTAAATTACCTTGTTTTCCAGTTTTTTAAGGCAGGCTTTCATTCTTCTTTATGGCTGAATAATATGGCCATTGTATATATACACCTGGTATCACAATTGCAGTTCTTACCCTAGTGCGTGTGTGGACAGTTTCAGTTCTCAACTTGGTACACCTGAGAAGAGAGAACCCAGTTGAGAAGTTTCCTCCATCAGATTGGCCTAGGGCCATGTCTGGAAGGGATTTTGTCAGTTGCTAGTTGATATGTCAGGTCCCAGCCCACTGTGGGTGGTACCATCTCTGGGAAGGAAGACCTAGGCTATACAAAAATGTAGTTGAGCAAGTCAGGGGGAACAAGCCAGTAAGCAGCATTGCTCTATGATCAGTTCCCGTTTGTGTTCTTGCCTTTGTGATGAACAGTGACCTCAGAGATGAAATAAACACTTTCCTTCCCCGGTTGCTTTTGGTTAGTGCTTTATCACAATAGAATGCAAACTAGAATAAGGGATCATTTATTCCAAGCCAAATATGAGTAATTACAGCATGGGGCACGGATTCGGGTTTTGTTAAATAACAAATTCCCCATCAGTCTCTTTGTCTTGTAGAATCTTCAACATGGGTGTGACTTTTTTAATGAATGCAGTTTTCCAAGCAATACATTCTGTGTGTGGTTATAATGTCTTTCTCTGTCTTTAAAAGTGTAAAGTTTGAATTAATTTTAAAATTTAGAAAACTCTGGTTCATAGGTTAGTAATAAGGGAACAAGTGTCTCTTACCTCAATATTTCTATTACCATGTGCTCACAAAATATCTAAACTAGGAAGGGCAAGTTTTCAACACACCAAAGAGCAGAGAGAGAGAATGCAGGTAGATGCTAGAAGAGTGTGAGAATACCCACATGCTCACGAATACACCAATTCTCTGAATTAATACTCTGAAAACATGCAAAGATCAAAAATCAAATGTTCTAACTTGGAGTCTGAAACAAAGCAAGAGGACACCAAATGACCAGCTCAGAATAAACCAACAGATCATCAACCAAACCAAAGCAAAGGCCAGGCCTGAGAACTCACCACCAACGACACACAAAGTTGGACAAAAAAAACTGGGCTGGTACTTGACGCAGATCCAGTTAACGTCTCTGTGAAAGTGGATAGTCCTTGGAGCCACACATTCAAGCACCAAAACTGCTAGAGCAAAACAACTCCTACTCAAAAAGAGTAAGATAATTTATGAGTCAAGTGTGTAAGTATGAAATAAGAACACTGATGCCTGCTGCTCCAAACAGCAGACACCAACATGGAAGTGGTTACAAACTTTTGTAGTCACTGACCACACGCATGGCGTCTAGGTGATAGAAACTACAGGTGTACTAAGTACACATTTGAGATATTTATCTCATAGTCCAAATCGCTATCCTCATGCATTGGAACTGGATGTGAACACTGTCAGCAAGATGTAGGCCGAAGCTCAAGAGAGTCATGAATTAAAGGAACTTCACAGTGTGGGAAAGCTAAAAATTAACATGATTTCCAAGGTTCATCTGCTAGAGGAGATAGTCCATAAAGGTTCATTCAGAGAAAGCTTATGGCCAACAGAATGGACTCTCCTGCCTGAGTGGAGACTTAGCATTCCAGTTGGACCCGATCAAACCCCAGGCCAAGGGACCACCCCTAGGAAAGTGGGTTTACCTTAAGCCACGCTAAAGAGCTAGGTGGATTAATTAGTCCTTTAAGGAGCTTCTGTACTTTTCCTTCCCAGAATTCCTGTCAACCTCAGGGCAGTCTCTATAAGCAGAGCAGCAATGAGGTGTGGCTGGCCACCCCTATGCTTCTGAGACTCAAAAAGGTATAACTTTTCCTTTTTCCTTTTTTTTGTCTTTTCCTTTTTGATACTGGCCAGAATCTAGGTGTGCTTTTTCTGGTACTTAAGGCTTCCTTACTCTTTCTCTAAAGCTCCCCTCCGCACCATGTGACTGCCGTACCACCATGTGACTGACCTCTTCGCTTGCCTAACTCAAGCAACAGAGATTATTTTTCCTCCTACCTTCCCTCCTCATGCTCTGAGCAGCTGGCTGAGATTCACAGCTTGCCTACCCTGAGTGTTTGTCTTTAAAATTCCAATAAAATTGTCTTTGAGCTTCTATTTGAGTCTATTCCTAACTTATTTTGTTAATGTGACTGGGAACCCCAAGGGGACCTGGGTGATCAAGAAGGGACTTCCCAAAATCCCAGAAACACATCCCCAGGTTATAGCAGAAGTGAACAGTGGCTGAGAGAAGAGATTCTCCAACCAGCAGAGCAGCCTGCAAATGATGCCCAGAGCTCCAGTTTGGAGCATCCACAAGTGAGTCATCGCTCATACAGGGGTGGGATTTTCAGTGACACAACTGCCTTTCAGTTGTTCCTACTCCTGGAAGCAACCCCTCACCCATAGCCCTACAAGTACTCCAATAAATTCATTGGTTTGCCAACTTGTAATTTGGCAGAATTGTTACTTTGATCTGGCTTGATGCTCTATCTTGGTTAGTAGACGTTTGCGCACCTTTTTCCCAGGAAAAGTCAACAGCAATGAATGGCTCACGAAGCAGCTAATGTCAGTTCGAGATAATTTGACTTTGATCTGCAACAGTTCAACTCTCCACACTGGTGAAGTTCTAATCAGTCATTCAGCCTGATCAGTCAATCTTTTCCTTCCTGTGGAGAGAGGGAACACAGTCCTTCACTATGACAAATTATGTGGTTGAGTTTCCCACATTTGGGAACTTGCAGGGGTCAGCATAGCCAGAGTGCAAAGGATAAATCTTCCCCTCAGAATACTACCTTTGTGATAGTTGTATCTCTCCTGCCGGAGAAATGTGCTTTTTAGAACCCTGTGTAACTTCTGTTCATACATCACGTTTTCTTTATCTGCCCACACACCTTCCACCGGCAACTTTAAATTTTTTTTAGAATATAGTGGTTTTTAAATATTTGATATATTTTTCTACTGAGGTTTTTTTTGTCTTACCTTGTTATAGAAGACACTTAATTTACTAAGGAAAAACTTGGAAATCTTTCTCCCCGTGGGTGGTACCTGTTGATGGTTGCGTTTACTTTTGTATTGTTTTCTGTGTCTTGTTAGTCTTTATATTGATACTTTAGGACTCTCCACCATGCCTGTGAATTGACCATTTAAAGACTGAACAGAAGTGACAAAGAGTTTTATTTTAGACTTGTCTCAGGTCTTATCATGAATCCCAAATTCTGCCCATGAGTCTCCCACCCATCTGTACACTTAAAAACACACTGGAGCAAGCATGCAAGAACCATTAAGACCAGCTGTCTTTCAAAGGAAGGCTCTCTTTCATTTCTGTCCATTTGTAGGTATTGGGCTTCCTGGAATCACTCACATGTGGACAATATTTCCTATGCTGTCAGCACTGCAACATTCATGTTAAGACAGTGACGTTGCTTATTACCAATGCATAAACTAGTGAAGGAACATCTTCAAGTAAGAAAGCCACAAACTTGAAGTTCTTGCCTTCACAGCACTTACTCAAACATGGACATTTTGCAAATATCTCATCCTTTTATTTTCAAAGGGTTAAAAGAAATTATTTCTAAATATGTTCTAGTTTTTAAAATGTCAACTTTTTATCTATGGTTGAAATTGCTTCTTCATATAGCCATTATGGGAAGAGCTTGCTATAGGTCTGCTTTTTAGTTTAAAGTATTTTGTATTTAAATAAACTTCAACAGTGCTCACTTGAATGTTATTACAGAAGGTGCTGCATTCATGAAATTCAACCCCCAAACCAAATGAATCATCTGAATTTAAATTCTTTTAATAAATGAATTCTATAATAAACACACATCAGGAGGAATGTAGCTCTGAAACCATAATGTGTGTAATCAAACCTTATCCCTCACTGTGACTTTTCGTAAGAGACTCCAGCTCATGTTGAAATGAAACAGATGTGATCTTGAGAAGGAAATTTCTTCCTCCAACACTCATTTCATGGTTCATAGGACAAAATACAACTGCCTGTTTCATGATTTCAAAATAATTTTGAATACATTCATTATACTTTCAAGATGACTGGGAATTTGTTTTAAAACAGGCAAGAGATTAGGGAAAAGAAGCATGAGACACCTCCTATTGCCTAATTTTCCACATTTTATCAGTGAGCTTTAAATTAAATTTAGTGTGCTTTACTCTTGTTTGATGTTTCCGCTATTTTAGTCTTTTCAGATAAGACTTGATCTTATACCTATGTAACATGGTTGTTTCTTCAAGATTTGTAGAGTGTAATTTGTTAACCCCTTTTCTTTACTTATTTCTTGAATTTTAATAAGAACATAAAAAGTAGGAGAGCAAGATTCTTCACCTTAAGCTTAGGAAACCATATTATGTTACTCATTAGCCTTAGACATTCATTTTGTAAATTTTATTATTAGGGAAATAAAAATAATCTATATTTGTACAGACACACTGAGGATTGTATTTTCTCGCCAGTAGACCGCAAGCATCTTGAATTTCAAGAGGTATCTAAATGTCCTTGGATCCCATAGAGTGTACCACAATGTCTGACACTTTTTAAGCAACCAACTGCTCATGGAATTAATGAATAAATTTTGAGTTTCATTTTCTACACTCTTATCTACCCTGGCATTCATTTCCAGGTAATTCAAAAGCTTCTTTATCCTCACTGCAAGAGAAAAAGAGGTCATAGCTCAGCAATGAAACTGGCAGGCAGTAAACCACTCAAGTATACAGAAAACTTTCCTATTGGCCCTTCAGATATAATCAAACTTCTACCCATGTAGCAAAAACATCATAGGAAGAAACAGTAAATTGATTAAATTCTTGCCTTTCTCTGGCTCTCAGTATATTTGTGTTTTATTCAGAGCACAAATACACTTGGGTTTTGCAGTAGAGAATTAAATAACATACAAAGGATTGGTACCAAAGTCCTTCATCTTTCTGCCAGCTACATCTGTAGTAATCTGTACCAGATGCTGCTGAAGAAGCCTTTACAACATTCTCCAAAGAACTTGGGACTAAAATCCAGGTATATTTGAGAAATGAAATAGTAAAACTTGAGGGTGGTTCTCAATAAATGAATATTTTTATTTGTACTGTATATTCTAATATCCTTTCCTATTGCATTATTGCCATATAGGTACACGAATGTTTTAAAAAGATCTAGAAATAAAAATAGATATCTATCTTTGTTAACAGTCATTAATTGACACAAATTTATGGGGTATAGTGAGGTTTTTAGTACATATATACTTTGTGTAATGATCAAACCAAAATAATGACTGGATCTAATCACTTCAAACATCTGTCATTTCTTTGTGATTGAACATTCAAATTCTTCTTCTAGATATTTTTAAATACACAATTTTATAATGAAGTATAGTCACCCTACTTTGCAATAGAACAAAAATTATTCCTTTTCTCTAATTGTAAATGAATATCAATTGATCAACATCTTCTCATCCCTATTCCCACACCTGAGCCTCTGGAAACTATGAGATCACATTTTTAACTTTCACACATGAGTGAGATCCTGCCAGAAGTTGTGCCTGATTTATTTTATTTAATATTAAATTTTCTATGTTTTTTTTTTTGGAAACCAAAAGATTTCACCCTGTTATGCCTAAACCATATACCCTTTTGTATATAGGATGACCATTTGTCACTACATTATTGAACTATTTAGCAATTTGTATACATAAACTTTAAATGAATCAGAAATTGATTTGTTTTATGAAAGTGCCTTAAATCAGAACATATTAAAAAAATCAAAATTAATTTCCTACTCATACGTTACTGAGGAATTGGGACACTACTTCAGACGTTCTGTGTATGTATTTCCTAAAATAAATATTCTGTGCATGTGAGATGAAACATTAACATTCACATACAGATGGACAGTTAGGTAGATGGACAGATAGATAGATGGATGATAGACAGAACTTAGGTTCTTTCTTCACTCCAGAAACATATTTAACACACTTGGCCAGATTCTTAAGAAGAAACTCTAAATTACATTCAGCAATGTAGCCAGTTATAGGAAGGGCAATCATAGAATTCTACCAGCACACAGGTTAAAGGGGCTGTGCTTGTCCTGAAATTGTTGATCTACTTGTTCTTTCTTTAGTTCGCATTTATAATTGCTAAAGGTGATATCAAGCCTATAAAGAGGTTTTTGTTTTCTTTTTAGAGTAAAGGAGAGCATATTTAGAAGACTGAAGCAAAGATAATACTCCCAAAATGCTATGGAACATTAGCTGGGGCATCATCTCACATTGTTTCTCTTTTGTAACTGGGTGGTGTGGGGAAGTGCGGATGGTCTCTCTGTTTAACCAGGGTTGAAGACATCCATTGTATTTTCAAGAGCCCCAAAATTTGTTATGTAGTCTAAACCGAACTCAAATCCATGACTTTCCCACATCTCCAGAGGAGTTTGGATTACAGTTGTGTTTTCATACCTGGCTTCCATATAATTTTGTTTTAGGCAATTTATACTATATTTCAATGAAAATATTTTTGTATATTTGATGAAAAAAATTCAAGAAAATTATTTTACATGTTCACTAGGAAGAATATGGCATGATTTGTTCAACATAGGAATCTAATTTGATAAAGAGAAAACAAGATCAAATGAAAGGGCAAAAATACAACATAAATAAACAGATGAGAAAAATTACACAAAAACGTCAAGCAATGTAGCAATTTATATACTAAATTTAAAAGTTTAATTCCAAAACATATAATGAAAATGAAAAGGAGAAATATTATTTATGTGAAATTCATAGACGTAATAGTGTGTGGTGTAACCTGGAGAAAAGGGATCAGCAATTTAAAATAAGATTATATTTTAAAAATTAGGGGACTAGAGAGATGGCTTAATGTTTAAGAGCACTGGCTGCTTTTGCAGAAGACCTGGGTTTGGTTCCCAACACCCACATGGCCTCTAACAATGCTCTGAAACTCCAGTTCTAGGGGTCTGATGCCCTCTTCTGGCCTCCACGGGTACTAAATGCATGTAGTACACTTACATATATGGAAGCAAAACAGTTATACACATACACTGAAAATGAATAGAATAAAAATTCAACAAGACTAGTCTCATATTTCTTACTCCTACAGCCTTGGTTATACTGCCTCCTCTTTGTGTTATTGCTCATCTGGTTCTTCCTTTTCTTTCTTTTTGTCTAGGTAACAGTTTGCAGATCTTGCTCAATGTTTTCAAAAGGCAATTTCTCAGTAAGTTGGGTTTTTCTACTTTATTGTTTATTCCTTCTATTTCCACTCTGATATTTATTCTTTTCCTTCTTTCTGCTGTCATTGGGCTTAGTTGCTCCTTCTTTTGTCAGTTCCTTGGGGTTATAAAATTTTGATTTGAGAGCTGTCACTTTTGAGTGCAGGGATTTGCTGTTTTCCATTTCTTCCTCAGTATTGTTTTAGCTGCATCTCATAATATTGGTGTGTATGATCCAGACCCACATTGCTTAATATTACATAGCTCCCATTTACATGACAACAAAAAGTCAAACTCACAGAAATAGAGCAAGAATTGTCTTTTTCAGGCACTATTGGGAGGAAGAAATGGGAACATATTGGTCAAAGGGTATAAGAGTTTCGGTTGCAAAAGATGAGTAAGCCTTAGATAATATAACGCTAAATCTTTAGATATTTGCTAAGTGTAAATCTTAGGTGAACTTATTTCACATGTAAAAATGTAATTAACAAGGCCGGTATGTGAACACTTTGGAGATGTTTGATGTGTTGTGACATACATGATAGTGATGCTTTCAAGGTTGCATGCTTTTCTATAAAGTTATGAAATTGTACAAATTATGTAA